GACAGAGGGATCACCCCTACTGTTGTGTTGAGCAGTCGGCTTAAAATCGGGCCGACGCAAAAGAGCATCAGCGACGACCTATAGCCGTCCTGGTTTAAATTTGACGAAGAAGTTGTACTCCGCGAAGAAAGACAGACACCTCGCCATTCGTTGCAAGAGGTGTCGACAGTTTACGGCCTTACGTAATGACGCGCGGTCGGTATAAACGATGAAGGGCCTATTTCCTGAGAGATATACCCGAAACTAAGCCGGTGCGTATTTCATGGCAAGAAGTTCCTTGTCATGCCCCGGGTAATTAGGCTCAGCTGCTTGCAGCTGATGCTATGGATAACAGACGACGCGCTCTACGCCGTCTGAGTCGTACTGCATTAACGCGCAGCCGATTGCAAAATTGCTGGCGTCACAGAACAAATGGAATGGTCTGTCCTGGTCTAAAATCGCCAACACAGGCGATTGTATCAATCTTTTCTTGATGCTTTCTAAAGAGTGCTGACACTCAGCACTCCATGACCACCTCTCGTTTTTTTAGTAGACGAGAGAGATGTACAGTCATCTCGGCATAGTTGCGCGAGTATTTGTGCAAGTATGCAGCAAAGCCAATGAAATTTTGAGTCCCTTGACGTCGACTGGCACAGGCCAGTAGCTAATCGCCTTCATCTTTTCCGGATCAGGGCTTACACCGTTTTTACCCACGATGGAGCCAAGAAGTGGTATTTCGTTCGCTGCGACTATACACTTCTTGAGGTTCGCGAACAGCTTATGCTCTCGCAATAGAGTAAGAACCTTCCGGACGTGGATTCTACGAACATCCACGTCCGCCTTTCCATCCATAGCACGGCTATGGACGAAGACATCGTCGAAGTAACTCGGTGCGAAATCGAGCACCGATCGCAACAGATTTGTAACACATCTGTTAAACGTTGCGGGGGCGTTACTTAGCCACTGTGGCATCACTAGCTACTACCAGAGTATACCACTAGGGTGTTCAATTCTGTGTAAGGGATATCCCGTTCACGCATAAGGTTCTGTTAGAATCCATCCATCAAATCCATGGACGAATAGATGGTACTCTTTGCCATACCATCTATGATGACATCCTTTCTTGGGATCGACGTTTGAGCCGGTACAGTTGCAGCGTTCAGTTTGTTGAACGCGTGCACTATCCGCCACTCTCCTGTGGTCTTTCGCAGACAGAAGGTCGGAGAGCTGTGTGGAAGTATTGATTCCATCACATGACCAGCCGCTAAACGATCGGCAAAGAATTCGTCGATCGCTGTGACCTGTTCACGAGGCAGTGGCCACTGCTTCATGACACAGTATTTCGAACCAGGTTTCAGTTCGATCTCATGCCGAGTGCCTTTGTCTTTGGGCAGCTCGCAAGGCAGGGATTCCGGGAAAACATCCCTGAATTCAACCGAATCCTGATACAAAGGATTTGTCTTCAAAGACTTCCAAGATTGAGACGTGTATCGCTCAATCCGAGTCTTCTCGTCGAGGACACTCTCGTCCATCGATGAGCTACTGAGAACACGTTTGTTATCAGTAAACGCTTGTGCCAACCATATATCGGCGACGTACTCGTCCTCTGTGACGAGCACGCAGATCTGCTTGATCTTGTCACTACGCAGATCTCGCAAGATCTTTTAAATTCTAGCGTTGGCAGAATCTTTTGGATTCTAGCGTTGGCAACTTGACTACCTCCGAAGCTAACTTCGGGGGCGTAACCAGATCAAGTGTATTAGCGCCTACACTTGATCCGTCATTCACCAAGACATTCACTGTCTTGGTGATTTCTTGGAAAACACATCCGCAGGTGGCTGGGGATCCACACCCTCAACATAACTCTCTCGGGAGTCATCGCTCTCAGGAACGCTGGTTTTTCTTCCATTACGTGTACTATCACGGTCTCGTCCTCTTCGATCGACTTTCTTTCAGTCGATCGGGCTTGCTCTACGACCGACTATCTGATAGTCGATCTCATTTTAACGTGTTGCTCATCCTGAACAACACTAATCTCTCTTCTCGGATGCACCCTTCTTGGTGTGCATCCGTGTTCTAGTCCACTCGATCTCTTCGGGTTATGAGCCTTCGGTGCAGAGTGTGTCTCTACACAGGCTCCGGAAGCTGGTTTACAGTGTAGTGGCCTAATACACTGTGATCTTGTGCAATCGTCCTAATGACCGTACCACAAGTGAGGCCACCGCACTCAATCGTAGTACATCCACACGCTTGTGGACGCTACAAGACGTTCATCAGATGGCCATCCGATGAACAAACGGCAGGCATTTTCACGGATCGATGCTGCCAGCTAACCCATGGCTGGCATTTTCTAAGCCATGGTAGACCAAGGATGACATCAAATTTGTCATCCAAATCCAGTACGATGCTGTCATCAACGCACTGTTTTCGCTCTAGCGTGTAGTGGATTTCCACTACACGTTCGCTCACTGTTACGGATGCGCCGGTAGCAAGTCACACCGTCATCCTCGTTGGAAGGAACTCTCGCTCAACATAGTCGAGCCTACTATCCCCAAGCGACTGGTGTCGAGTAAAACTGTTCGACGTCCCATAGTCAACTAGGGCGCAAAGTGACATTCCACTTGTCACTTCGATCTTCACAGCGATGAGAGGCTCCTCATCACCAGGGGCAGTAACACACAGCGAATGTGTGTTGAGAGCAATCTTCGTCAAGAGTCCTGCAAATTCTTGACGTTGCTGGATCAGCAGGGTGCTCCGCCCCTACTGACCCTGTCCATTTTTTGATGGTCCGACTTGCTATCGTGGCTTGGCGACATGATCGGACCCACGCCTCGGACCTTTCCTTGACCAAAGGTGGTCATCACGTCCTGTCTTTGGACGTGTAGCGGTGCTCTGGACACTACAGTCATACGCTTAGTGTCCAATATGACAGCGATGGCATCTTGCCGTTCGCTTGTGATTTAGAGAGCGAGAGTTCTCGTTCTCGATGTAGCAGAAGTCCAATGGTTTGGGACCTCCTGTTTCTGTCGTCTCGTCGAACGATAGTTTGACGAGTTAGCCTGAGAATGTATCAGACTGAAGTCATTTTGTTCCGCAAACGATATCGCCCTTTCCAGCGTATGGAAGTCCCTCTCGGAACATGTAGGTCTTCACCGGCCGATCCACAAGGCCGTAGATGGACACGTTGATGAGCGTGTGCTCATCAACAGGATTTTCTGTAACGCTACTCGCAAGGTAGCGCAGGTGCTGTGCGCAAGCGTGCACGTCACGCTTACCTTGCTTTAGCCTCAAGAGTGTAGAGCGTGCTCTGGACTCGGCTCTCGGCGGCTCAAACGTCTCTTTGAGCTCGACTTCAAGATCTCCAACGACTCAAACACGTGTGGGTCGTAAAGCTTGAGTCCTGAGGCCCAAGTCTTTGCTCGTCCTGTCAGATTTGACAGGGCGAAGGTGACTTGCATCTCGTCACCCTCGATGTGACGGGTCCTGATGGCGTCGTCTAACTCGACGAACCATCTCAAAAGGGAATTTTTATAGGTTCCCTTGTACCTTGAGACATCAATCTTCAGGGTTTCGGGTCGACGCGTGTGCATCGGCCCACCCATCGTCTGGTAAGGGCCTTGCTGCTGTAGAAAGGCTATCTTCTGTCTTTCGACGGCAAGTTCCCTTTGTAGGAACTTGTTGACAGCGGCATGTCGCTGGTCTCTGCTTAGAGACTTCAACATACCACTGATGGCGGGTTCGCCTATGAGCACACTCAAGCGGCCGACTACCTCCCACTCCGAGTCACTCAGATGGGAGTAGCCTTCACGTGTGACGTGAAAGCTGTCGTCTTCTATGTCCAACATGTTTATGTTGGATGGACACAAAGTAGTCGTTGGACGGACTGTGAAGTGTTACCAGGTGTAACGGGGCACCTTTTGTCTGGGTGCCGCGAAACTTCACGTACACTAGTACGTGCAGAGGAAGCTAATCTACTTGAACGACTCGTTCAAGTAAAAGGTAATAAGAGAACTGTATTTAATATAGTTAAGCTATCAATATGACTTCAGTCTTTATCTAACTATATCAAACTACGCCGTTGTATGACGACAACCTGCTCACCACCCATTGTGCGCGTCTAGCAGCGATTAAGGGCAATCTATGGTTGATATGTCTTCTATCAACCAATCTTGGAGCAGCGCATGAATATTATCTAAAAGGGGATAATATTCCTTCAATATTATCTATCTCGGATAATATTGGTAGAATAATGTCGTGCTAGGCAATATTCCTATTGACACCGTTTGGTGTCAATATCATGTAACGGGCTACCCCGTTACACGAAACGCCTCAGATTTCTCCTCCAGTGAATTGATGTATATTATTGAGCACGTTTAACTATAGGACGTTTCCGAAAGTGATTATCTTACGACCGACAAGAAAAACACTGTCCGCGAAGCCACCTTTAAACTCTTGCTGACATAACAGGCCCCTCGCCAGTCGCTGCTTCGGAGCGCACATTTATATGCAGATCTCTTTCCTTTTACTAAGTGACTAGCGAAACTTATTCAGCACGGATACTCCTCGCATATTTTTATGGTTGTTTACCTGGCTGTGCCCTCTACTCAGAGAGAACCTGCTTTGTAAAGTGTGGTACTAGCTGTTAAAACTATCAAGCTATGTAAAACGGTAATGGCTGGTGACAATGTTCAAATCTGCTTAAAACGGAAAAGAAGTTGTACAATCCGCAAAAGTTTTGCAGAAAGAGGATATAATTGTTAAATAGTCACGAAGTTTTAACCTAACCTTCTTAGCTTCTCTGCAACCAAGCCTTCAAGCTCGAGACCATAATGAAACTTATTCGTTCAACCCTTCCAGCTGACGAGATACGAAGGACGGTGCGCTCAGTGATCATCGTTCGTTTGTTTTTATGGTTACGACGTCACTTGTGACGAGAAAATCGACGGTTCACCACTACCGCACTGCGTACCGTTGACTTTTTAAGCGCGAACAACCACACTAAATCTATGAGCAGAGAGATATTAGACCACAGTAGGCGACGATCCTGGTGCGCGCTTGTAGCACTGCGGTGAAGGCTCACGTGCTTCTTTAGGACTGAGAGACGAATTGGACACAGCGTTTTGGTGCCCATTCGCCTCCGAGTCATCGATCTTCGGATTCCGGGTTGGTGACAGCGGAGGCGTTTCTCTTCCATTCCTCTTGCCATTCAAAGACGAACCCGTGGCCGCTGACAATACGAGTCCGCTAAGGGCCCTGCCTCCATCGTACCTTCTTTTGCCTAACATCTGCTGCATGACGATCTCGCCGCGAATAATAAGAAAAATGCGATAGAGCACCGATGCGAGTACTACCGAGGCCAGCAGCAGCGAGTACAGGATTGTTGAAAGCACCCCACCCGGATGAAACTCGCCATTCTTGAGGTCCTTGTAAGCCATCATAGAACCGGCGCCATCCTCAGTACGAGGAAGAGTAGCAATGGCTGCAGCCTCCGCCACTTGCACGTGCAATCGCTCGAGCCCCGTCTCTAGCAGGTGGATGGTCTCCAGGCGACCGTCAGCGATGCGAGTCATGTTCTCCACCTAAGGACACACACAGCACTATTAGTCGCAGCAAACATAAGCCCAGTCGATGTCTTGAATGCCTATTTTCCCACCTGTAGTCGCAGCACCATCACGTCGTCCTTTAGTTTCTCTCGCTGTTGCGTAAGCGCCTCGATCTCCGGGCTCATCATCTGCCGCAATGCGAACGTGCCTACGACTCCCACCATAAGCAGTCCAGCGATTACCGCAAGACCACTAGCTGCTCGACTCACGGGAAGCTTCATCATAACGTGCGGCAGGCAGCGCCGCACGCGACGGAAACGACGATGCACCGCTCTCGCGCAGCCGCCCTTGGCGAACGGAACTGATGGCAGTCCGTCAGAGCTAAGGTTGGCGCTGCTGGGTTCGCAAAAGAACGGAAGCCCATCGTCCGCAATACTGATGCTAGTGCTGGACGGGGACGAGGAGGCGGCACTTGAGGGCGAGGTCATAGTCTCCCGCTTTGCACTGGCGATATAAAAAGTCAAAAAAGAAAACCGTGGGTGGGTGTGATTGATTACATCTGCTGGCTACATGACATGTGCTACGTCGAGTGCTTACCGTCCGTCACGCGATTCGACGCGTCGCCTTAGCGACGGCGTCTAAGTTTGCCCCGGCCAAAACTACGACTACGGCTACGACTCGGAGTGCGACTGCTTCCCCGAGAACTACCGCGTCGGCGAACACGGGATTTTGAACGAGAGCGCGAGCTAGAGCGCGATGAAGCTGACGAGTGCGACCAGGATCTCTGTGACGACACCGAATGTGATCGTGACTGAGACCGCGAGCGCATTCTTCGACGACGTGGGCTGCGAGACGTTTTGAACGAAGCTGTACTCGTGCTTCGCCCGCGACGACATCGATCATGCGGTGATACATTACGCTCCCTGCGTTGGCGAGATTGCATCGGCTGGTCCGTCTGAGAGACGCGCGACCGACGAGGAGAGCGCAGAGCCTTGTTATCTTCCTCCTTTAGTGCTTGATCAGAATGAGGTTTGATGGGAGAGTCCGTTCGTGCCTTTGCTACCCTCTTCTCAAGATGCGCCTTGCGCTTCTCCTCTTGCCTTACCACAACAGAAGTAGCTTCCTTAGCACCAGACGTCTTCGCTGGCGACAAAGCTCTCTTCTTTGACACATATTTTGTGTCTACTTCAATTGGCAAATCATCGATGGCCACCGCGCCGATGGACGTGGAGTGTCCCGATAAATTCAACACCTTCTGCTCACCCTTCAGAACAGCCGATTGTACCGGTGTCACGTTTACAACCAAATCCGTTTTAATTCCAACGACCTTTGTTCTTTTCCCAGTGTACCGCCGTCGACCACGGCTCGATTCGGAATCAAAGCTTGACATCGAGTCTGAACTGCGAGCATGATCAAGCGGCGAACGCTTAACCTTTACTGTAGCTAAAGGTTCCTTTCCATGGCGTGTTTCCTTTTGCAGCTTTCGGCTACGCAAGCGAGAACAAGAGCTCTTGGAGCCACTGCTGCGTGAGGACCTAGATCTCGACGGGGACACCGAGAAGCGCTTCCGCCCAAGTGCCGGTGATCGACGGGAACGCCGTCCCGACACCGAAAGGTGCGAGAAGGACTTACGTGATGTATCGCCATCACGACCGCGACGGTCTGCGGGAGACTTTGACCGATGGAAACAAGGCGCCGCTCGCGACCTTGATCCTGAGCGAAACCGTTCGAGTCTTGACTCCATCTTGATATCCTTCTCTTTCCTCTCTTTCAGGCGTAACTTTCGGCCTTCCTCTCTCTCTTTCCACTCCTGCTCACTTCGCTCCTTCCTCTCTTGACGACGCATCTCCATCCTCTCAGAATCAAAGCTCTCACCTGCCACGTAGTCCGAGGCTATGCCAAACGCTTTCTTGATCCTCTCATTTTCTTCTTCTTTACGTTTCTGTCGAGCGTGCGAGCTTTGAACGTCCTCCGCGGCCCCTCGATCTCTGTCTTCGCCATTTAGTCGCGCCAAGAGCCGCTCGCGTTCTCGCTTGACCTTGTTCTGGATATCCTCGGGGTCGCACTTACGCTCCTCCATCTCCAGAGACAATTCAAGTAGCTGCAGCTCCACCCTATGCTTCTTTTCGTGCAGCAAAATGTCCGCATTCGGCGGTGGTCGACTCTTGCCGCCTCCGTGAGCACCGAATTCCCCTAATGTCCCTCCACCTTTATTAAGTACCAGCGTCTGCCGTGTGCGCGATGCGTTCACATGGCTGAGGTTACGTTGTACGTAGCCATTCGTGCCCGAGCCGCGCACCGTGCGCAGACCAATCCCGTTATACATGGGTGTCTCAAGTAGCTAACAAGAGGGTATTTTACCCCCCCCTTCTCCCTCCACACGATGTGTTCCAGTCGTACTTTAAACGTGAGAGATCTATAGGTAAACAAAATAAATCAAAACCCAAAACGAAGTGGTACACTTCGCTAGAAGGCGGATGGATGAGGGATCTCAAGTGCTGTTGGGGTTAGTACAAATGCTGCAAGAACTTTTGAGATCTTGAAAAGGACTGGGATGCCCTTAAGGTCTTTAAACGGTAATACGAACGCACGAGTGATTAATTTTAATTACACCATTTGATCGCAAGTGGGACAGTGCATTTAAAATGAAAAGGGTGTGTGTCAATCTAACTAGCGCTCGTAATGTGAGGATCCAATACACAGGAGAGTGGAGGCTACCTAAAAGGACACGCACGCCATTAATCATGGTCATCTTTGAGAAAGGTCTTTCACATAAGTCTAGCCACTGACTGGATCGTTCAGGAAAGTCTCTGATTTGATGGTCGACAGTGGTGCACAACAAATCACAACCTCATTGTTCTTCCATCCTAGCTATCACGGCTGTTGCCCTGCTCACTTTAGGTGTACCCGTATCTCTCGTGTTATCTAAGAACGAGGTAATGGCCTGGCACGTATTACGTTTTAGTACTCCAGAGTACTGGACATCATGCCATTTGTTTAGGTCGTTAAAATGACGACACCGTACATGGACACTGATACCATCGCGTCTTTATTTTCTTACCAAGATTTGCATAATCAACTGGTGATTCGATAGCAAGTGCGACGACGACTATTAGGACCGCCGTGTCAAGTAAACATACACAACTACAGACGCTCTGCTTCCAAGCTCTTTATAAATTCGGAATGCAAAGTCCAGCCTTATTAAGACAATTCAAGCATATTGGCATGGGGACGAGGCCAACGGCATGCAGCTCCACCAGCTCCTTCGATACGCAAGCTTTGCATACGACATGACCACACGCGTGGCAGTTTACGCGGTGCGATAGTATTTGAAATGGCTTCTTGCACCGCTTGCAGCTCTTCGCAGACATTCTTGACTGCCACTCGGTCTTCATCACAAACGTGCGCGAGTCCAGCTGCTTGCGACGAAAGTGCGCACAAAGGCGGGCGAGGTTTGCACCAAACTTTTCCATCAGCAGTCTAACGGTAATGCCTGGCGCCCAGCCTCCATGTTCCGATTCAACCACGTACACAATTTTTGTACTGGCTTGATTGCTTCTACCACTTGACGATTGGGTCTGTCCTGAGCTCTGAAGGAAAAATCCCGAACGAAAGGGGGTGCAAGGCTCATAGTTGTTGGTGACCTCGGCAAACTCTGGATAATTCACGGTATCCCACAGACTGAAGCCGATAGTCGAACCATCGGGCAGGCGAATCATCTCCGTAGCAATGGTAAAGCACATTTCTCGGGCCGCCAATAGACCAGGAGCCTGGGAGCTCACGAATCTCACGTACATTGAGTTCATCGGTTGGTCCGGTGTCGGCTGGCGCAGGTCTGCCAGGATCCGGGACTCATGCAAGCTACCCGAGAGCACACGGTCGTTCCGAGCCATCGAGTCAGGATCAGACACCAGAAAGAGCTTCAAGAAATCCTCCACCGTCGCGTAAATGTTGGTCACACAGCAAAATCGCGTGAGGCCGGACTCGACACTAGCTTCGTCTATGAAATACGAAATGTCGGTCTTGTGAAATTTATGCTTCCAACGCGCGTTGCTAAATTCTTCTGAAAGCATCGACGCCATGACGTTTTGCACGGTTTCATCCAGATGTGAAATTATTTCGCGACGACGGATTGGCGGCAGCTCAATGCAAGCCTCCTGGCTGCTATTGCTTTCATTGCTAGTTGAACAGCTACCACGACGTTGCTGACACTGCCGGAATGTTACCGATTTACGCTGTAGTGGATGTGGAGACTGCTGGGCGAAAATACCATCTGCATCGTCATTAGATATTGACGGCGATCGCCGTAGGAAATGTTCGAAGCTGTTGTCCAGAATTTGCAGCGATTTATAGACATGTTGGCTTGAGCTCTGGTGCGAGTTTCGACGCTGCTGCGGCAACTCTTGAGGGCCAATGGAGCACTGCTTTAAGCCTGGTCGAAGCGACTTAAAAAACGAGCTTCCGTAGTTGTCTAGATACTCGTTTGTGGTCAGGTGCGACGGTCCCAATTGCAGGGGAGGCTCCGAAGATTCGTAAGCTGTCCAAATATTTTGCTCGGAGTGTGACGACGAATGGTGGAGATCTCGAAGATGTCCTGCAGACTCTTGAGACTCTTCTGCTGAAACAGAACCCTGAGCGGAGCGCTGTCGCCCCATTCGCAACCGTATCTGGTCTTGTCCCGGGCGTTGCTGAGGCTGCTGTGGTACGCTCATGTTCCGGCGGGCGATTTGTGTTGTGCGATCGATCGTCTGCTTAAACGACCGAAGCGTGTGATCAAAGTCACTCGTAGCTTTTCGAGACGGACGCGCACAATGCTTCGCGCCGTCGCTCTCCCCCCAAGTTGGCTCTTCTGTCGAATTTGGGGTCTCACTCGTTGAAGTCGTTCGTATATCTGGGGCTCTCATCGTTTCACAGGTTCGTGCTCACAGTACCTTGGACAACCGAAGTAGCTGACTGCGGGTCTCCTCCAGCTTCAAATTGTGAGGCACGCCCGATAGCGCTGCAAGTCGTTAGCTCTCTCCTGCCGGCGCTATACCCGAAGAAGGGCATGGAATATACCGAGCCAAGTTTGCTGAAAGCCACCGGGCTCTTTGTCCAACCCTACCAGGTAATTCGATGGACAAGATTTTTTAGATGATGCTGAGTGAATAACAAGATACGATTTGCTCCAAAACAAAAAAACTGCAGCACCAGCAAGAAGGATATTCTCTTAACACGATCGGGGTATGACTTATTGATGACAATTGAAATAAACGGCGGCGTGGACTGAAGCAGGACACACTGGAAAATTGGCTGCGTATGTGTGTGCTACATGTGCGCTATGCACGGCAGTGCTACGATGAATCATGTGTTGCTCCCAATGCCACGTCTATTACAAATATTGTTACTGCACTAGATAACATTTACAACCCCAGCGCGTTTATAGTGAGCAACCCAACATCGTCGAGAGCCAGACATCTGCGTCATATTTCCAAAGTGGTCTTATCATCTTAGACTGCTTGCGCTGCTCGCAGGTTGCATGCAATTGGTCGAATCTCTCCAGTGTCAGACTTAATGCCCGCGACGTTTGTGGCTGCACTGCACGTCTTAGCCGACCTGATTTGCCTAATATCGAATCTCATGGCTGTCGATACGCAAAGAATAGCGCCTTTTTGTCGGCAAGTCTTTCCAGCTGGACTCTAAGTGCTAGAAAAGCTAGAATGTCATCAACCCCGGGAGTTTATTAACAAATCTATAGTGAGCGTGCCAAGGCGGTAGAGGCCGCCAGATGTGAAGGTTTTGCACCGATAGAGTCTTGGGCATTTCTTGTTGAGAGTGATTGTTGCTGGCCTTGTCCATCAAAGCCGAAAAGCTACAACAATGAACGGACTTGCCAGCGTGCAACAGCTGGCTCAACGAGTAATGTCGACAACATCACTTTTTGGTTGCGTTTATTACTAATACTTCTAGAACTTATTCTAGCATTCTAGTCTGAAACTGTGCTCGTCGAAGCGCTCATGCACGATCGTGAAGGCCTGATTCTAGTCCATTTTACAACATGCACTAAATTCAGTGACCAGTTCGGAAGTCACGTATCCCCGCTTGAAAAAAAGCGATCAGTTTTGAGCTGTCTGTTTCCACCGATACTGTAGTGTAGCCGGGCCATGAAGGTGTTATCGACAGAATGCACGGCCAGTGTTTGTTTGCAAGAGACGTTACTGGATGATATATAGTAGTGGCGAAGCCCAAGCGTCAACTGCGCGTCACGACTTATCAACTAAATGCATCCGCACATGTACAGTTCATAAAGAATGGACAGCACATAAGAATTTTACGTAGGAAACTTGTTGCGGACGTCGTTTGCAAAGAAAACCGTCGGCAGAGCTTTGCTCTTTCTTTTTAACTTTATCCTTTTAAATTTTCAAGGAAGAGGATAAGCCTGTCCAGGCTCCATTGCTTCAATCGGGCAGACTTCTGCGACCGGTACTATCGCTCGTACTATCTGGAGCACGTATGGTATTGTCGCAATATGGCCAATCGCAGACCAGCTCGATGCTAAGACTTGCAGCGTCCACGCGCCATCCGTCGTATGTGCGTAGTCGCTCGTGCGGCTGGGCAGTTTTAGGTTTGACGGGCCGTGCAAGCAGTTGTTACGGTTTATCTAAGACTGGGGGCACCCCTCGCCATTAGTCATCACTTCGACGAACATTAACGTCGAAATTTTGTAGATGGCCACTACCGCACGCTATTACTAATTGTATGACCTCATATTTTGCTCCATCGCATTGACAACTCGTAAGCAAGTAACATGTAATTGACCTTTATACTTATTAACTCGAATATAATATAAAGGCTGACAATATTCGTGAAAATTACCGTAATGTGTTATATTTCGAAGTACTCACCGATTGGCTGATACAGGCCATCATATCAGCCAGCTCTAGCGGTCCAATCAACGATCGACGCGCGCAGTGAGCAAGAAATAAGCATACGCTTATGTAAATAGATACAATGAAGTTAGGATTAAACATAGGTACATGTAACAAAGACTTAATTTTATTTTATACAGTTTAACTTTCTACTCCTATTTGTAACGGGGCACCCTTTGTCTGGGTGCCACGAAACTTCACGTACACAAGTACGTGCAGAGGAAGCTAATCTACTTGAACGCGTCAGTCAAGTAAAGGTAAAAAGAGAACTGTATTTAATATAATTAAGCTATCAATAAAACTTCAGTCTTTATCTAACTATATTAAACTACGTCGTCGTGTGACGACAACCTGCTCACCACTCATTGCGCGCGTCTAGCAGCGATTGGTGGCAATCTATGGTTGATATGTCTTATATCAACTAATCTTGGAGCAGCGCATGAATATTATCCAAAAGTAGATAATATTCCTTCAATATTATCCATCTCGGATAATATTGGTAGAATATTGTCATGCTAGAAAATGTTCCAATTGACACCGTTTGGTGTCATTTTCATGTAACGATCCACCCCGTTACGTTCTCCCCCTTAATCACCAATCACCCATTTATTACATCCGAATTGATTGGGACAGGGTGACCACCATTGGATCACCCCGGGAAAGGGAGCACTTGTTGGTCAAATTCCATTCATTTGCCAACCAACGCATGGTTTCCGAAATATCGCGAGCTGCTACTGCAGCAGCAGGAAGAGCGGCCGCACGCATGCGCGCAGCCGCGGAAAGTGCCTCTCACGCCTCAGCAGCAGGCGATTCGTCGCCTGTTGTCGTGAATCCTCCACGTGGTGAGTCACCACGTGCGACAGGTATATCCGCTGCGTCTGCAGCGGGTACCGCGAATCGTAATCCGGATGGGTCTAAAACAGAGCTCATCTATTCTGGCGAGTCGGATGTTGTATCCGACTCGAAGGCGACTCCTCACGCCTCCAGATCACCCGGGGTGGACTCTGCAAGAGCCAGGTTGACTGGCTCTGGTCAACGTGGCGGTATCATGTCCGAGATCTTCGGATTGAGTGATGATTCCGACGAATCATGCCCCACGCAAGTCCTTTCAGCGATAGGACGCGTGGAGATGGTGGTGATGCACCTATACATTACCACGAGCGAAACAACTCGAGGGATCGGGGTAACACTGCTGCAAGTGCTCATGCGGACACCAATCAAGAGGCCAGGGACCGAAATGTCCTGCACCATGCTCCCTCAAGTGGAGTTTCCGTGGATGCCGTCATCCATAGAGTTGGACCGGTTGGCTGGCACGACTACCGAACAGGACCGAATCTTGTTGTTCGACTGTAGGAAGATTTGCCCTCCTGATTCTAGCACGGACTATCTGTGCTGAGGAAGAATTTTTCACCGATGCATTTTCAAACATCGGTGTTACAATGGTAGCCGTGTTCGAGAAGGTAAAGCCTTGGTGCAAGGATGGAATGCCCTCATCCACAACATCGAGTGCATTAGCCGTGGACCTGGATCGCCAAACTTGATGCAGCTCGCATCAGGTTTGAGTAACGTAACCCAGCCGGGGTGCAATCCAAGTTGCAACGGCTGTCAAGAGAGGCAGGATTTATCTTGTATCTCGTAGGGTGATTCGTGTCCGGGTTGCCTGGACAACTCGAACCGTGCCCCTAGGGAGGCCTACCTCCCTAGTGATCCCTACTGGAGGGCGCGCATATCTTCCGAGATGACCGAAGGGATCGACACTTTGCAATCCCTGTACTCGCGTTCGGGGAGGTCGTTTTCCGACGGCCCTTCTTCGAACGTAGCCGGTGGGTCTCGTCGTACTGCTCGACGAGACGAAGGACATCAACAATCAGCTGGGAACGAGGCTACTAGCTGTCCCACGCCGGTGGATAGCCACTCCAGCGGACGAGTAAACCCGTCCGGACGCCATTCACGTCGCGGAGGTTCGAAATACTTTCAACTAGAAAGCGTTGACCACGGCTTGAGTCCACCAAATGATGTGGTGGCGGCGGGAACACCTGATCCGGCTCGAGGGCCGGATCAGCTTGATATTCAGGAGCTGAACCGTTTAACGGAACAGTTGCAAGATGACCTGGCCCATGAACGACCTCGGCGTTATGGGCTTGAGGATCTTGTGAGGGATAGTATTAATGACCTAATGCACGATCGTCCGTACGATCGTGCCACGTTTGCGTTCGCGCAACTTGAGGACGAACAATCGACTCCTTCTCTTTGTGACGAGCTGGCTGCAGCTCTTCGAGACATCGCTCAACTGCGTAAGCAGGTTGCTTCGCGAGTCGACCAGACTGGCTCGTAAAAACAGGACCACGCGAAGGTGGTATCGGCTCTCGACCGCGGAGGTGTTCTCGCATCTCGAACCGGGCTCGTACTGATAGTACGGGCGGAGACGACCAACGTAAAACGTAGGATCTGTACGCAAATTACGGGGCAGTTCAATCGTGTATGCGTTGCCCATTCGGCGCAAGACACGAAATGGACCGATGTACTTGAGCAGTAATTTACGGCTGCCCACGTCTGTCACTGCGTGTTTCAGTAGGTTTACTGCAGACAGTAAAACTAGGTCTCATTCATCAAATGAAAGAACATTTGCTCTTCCATGTTTGTCTGCGTTTCTTTTCTGTCTGTCTAGTGCATCTTCAATAGAATCTTGAACGAAGCGAACAATGGCTTCGCAAGGCAGCAGAAATTCTTCTGCTGCTTCATCCTTGTCAACAGCAGTGCGCTTTGTGTGCACTGCTGACAGAAATTCGTCCTTCACCAGTGAGGGCGTCATCGTCCTCACTGTGGCAGTCGTTGGCGATGCTTAATATACCAGTATCATCGTCATCATCATCATCGATATCGATCGTATCGACGTCGGCATCCATCACTTCGACACCATTGTCGACGTGTGATGAGCAAGAACCAGATCGGTTTTTGTTCGAGCGAGTCCACCCCCCCCTTTTTAACCTAGAGTCACACTCTAAGAAGGCGGGTAAACGTGGATGGCGTAGGCCATTCACGAAGAACAGTGTATGCGTTGTCGTCGCGTGAACCAAGTTGTTGATGGCGAATTCTGCCATCGGCAAGAACTCACTCCAGCTCGTAAACGAGTGGACATACCCTCGAAGTATCTCTTCGAGAACGCGGTTGACGCGTTCCGTTTGACCATCTGTTTCGGGATGGTCAGAAGTTGACATCGTCAAACGTGTTCCAAGTGAACGGAACACGGATTACCAGAACTCCGCTGTAAAGCGGGGGTCCATATTAGACACGAGTTCACGGGGTAACCCGTAAAATCGGAAGATAGTATCGATGAAGACACGCGCACAGCCCTGGGCTGTGGTTGACTCCGGTACAGCAAAAAGATGTACCATCTTGCTGAGTACTGGTACTCTTGGGTGTTTGTTGATTGCGATTAACAAACACCCAAGAGTACCAGTATTCTTGTGAACGTCTTTGGGAAACCCGAAGACGAAGTCCATCGATACGGTCTGCCAACACTCTGCCGGAATCGGAAGAGGATGCAAGGGTGCGCAGGATGAAGGACTAGGCTTCACCCGTTGACAAGCTTCGCATGTGAATGTATTTGGGCACAAACTTATACTGGCGTAGACAGTTGAAGTCATGACTTACCGTGAGGTAAGTCTTTTCCCTACCGCGATGTCCACTTGTTGGGGCATCGTGATACTCATACGTGATGCGCAATCACAAATCATTATGAGCCGAAACGACGACACGAGGTGTGTCGCCGTCGACTGCTGTACAGTACAGCAGTCCATCACGGACAGAATACCGTTCGGTTGAAGAGTGGTATTGACACGACAAGCTTTTCAAAGCTTGATTACACGGATTGGATACGTAATCCATCAACCGCAGAAGAGACTCATCTTCTGCGCATGCTTTTCGCACGTCGTCGAGCGGATTCGACAACGGAGCACTCACTGTAAGTGTCGCGACAGTGGGACCACCCCTACTGTTGGGTTGAGCAGTCGGCTCGAAATCGGGCCGACGCGAAAGAGCATCAGCGACGACATTAAGTCGTCCTGGTTTATACTTGACGAAGAAGTTGTACTCCGCGAAGAAAGACAGACACCTCGCCATTCGTTGCGAGAGGTGTGGACTGTTTACGGCCGTACGTAATGACGCATGGTCGGTACAAACGATGAAGGGCCCATCTCCTGAGAGTTATACCCGAATATTAGCCGGTGCATATTTCATGGCAAGAAGTTCCTTGTCATGCCCCGGGTAATTAGGCTCAGCTGCTTGCAGCTGATGCGATTGATAACAGACGACGCGCTCAACGCCGTCTGAGTCGTACTGCATTAGCGCGCAGCCGATTGCAAAATTGCTGGCGTCACAGACCACATGGAATGGTCTGCCCTGGTATGCAATCGCCAGCACAGGCGATTTTATCAAGCTTTTCTTGATACCTTCGAAGGAATGCTGACACTCAGCGCTCCATGACCACCTCTCGTTTCTTTAGCAGACGAGAGAGATGTACGGCCATCTCGGCATAGTTGCGCGAGTATTTGTGCAAGTATGCAGCCAAGCCAAAGAAATTTCGAAGTCCCTTGACGTCGACTGGAACAGGCCAGTCGCTAATCGCCTTCATCTTTTCCGGATCAGGGCGTACACCGTCTTTACCCACGATGCAGCCAAGAAGTGGTATTTCGTTCGCTGCGAATATACACTTCTTGAGGTTCGCAAACAACTTGTGCTCTCGCAATAGAGTAAGAACCTTCTGGACGTGGATTCTATGAACCTCCACGTACGTCTTTCCATCCATACCCCGGCTATGGACGAAGACATCGTCGAAATAACTCGGTGCGAAATCGAGCACCGATCGCAACAGATTTGTAACACATCTGTTAAACGTTGCGGGGGCGTTACTTAGCCACTGTGGCATCACTAGCTACTACCAGAGTATACCACTAGGGTGTTCAATTCTGTGTAAGGGATATCCCGTTCACGCATAAGGTTCTGTTAGAATCCATCCATCAAATCCATGGACGAATAGATGGTACTCTTTGCCATACCATCTATGATGACGTCCTTTCTCGGGATCGACGTATTGAGCCGGTACAGTTGCAGCGTTCAATTTGTTGAACGCGTGCACTATCCGCCACCCTCCTGTGGCCTTTCGCAGACAGAAGGTCGGAGAGCTGTGTGGAAGTATTGATTCCCTCACATGACCAGCCGCTAATCGATCGGCAAAGAATTCGTCGATCGCTGTGACCTGTTCACGAGGCAGTGGCCACTGCTTCATGACACAGTATTTCGAACCAGGTTTCAGTTCGATCTCATGCCGAGTGCCTTTGTCTTTGGGCAGCTCGCAAGGCAGGGATTCCGGGAAAACATCCCTGAATTCAACCAAATCCTGATACTATAGATTTGTCTTCAAAGGACTTCCAGGATTAAGACGTGTATCACTCAATCCGGGTCTTCTCATCGAGGACACTCTCGTCCATCGATGAGCTACTGAGAGCCCGTTCGTTCTCAGTATACACTCGTGTCGACCAAATATCGGCGACGTAATCGTCCTCTGTGACGAGTACGCAGATCTGCTTGAACTTGTCACTACGCAGATCTCGCAAGAATCTTTCAGATTCTAGCATTGGCAACTTGACCACCTCCGAAGCTGATTTCGGGGGCGTCACCATATTAAGTGTATAAGCGCCTACACTTGATCCGTCATTCACCAAGACGTTCACTAACTCGGTGATTTCCTGGGAAACACATCCGCAGGTGGCTGGGGATCCACACCCTTAACATTACTCTCTTGGGAGTTATTGCTCTCAGGAACGCTGGTTTTTCTTCCATTACGTGACCTAGCACGGTCACTTCCTCTTCTATCGTCTCAATTTTAGTCAATCGGGCTTGCTCTACGACCGACTATCTGATAGTCGATCTCATTTTAACGTGTTGTTCATCCTGAACAACACTAATCTCTCTTCTCGGATGCACCCTTCTTTGTGTGCATCGTGTTCCAGTCCACTCGATAAGTTCGGGTGGTGAACCTTTGGTGCAGAGTGTGTCTCTACACAGGTACCGGAAGCTGGTTCCACAGTGTAGTGGACTTCTACACTGTGATCTTGTGCAATCGTACTAACGACCATACCACAAGTGAGGCCATCGCATTCACTTGTAGTACATCCACACGCTTGTGGACGCTCCAAGACGTTCGTCAGATGGCCATTCGATGAAAAAACGGTAGGCATCTTCACGGATCGATGATGCCAGCTAAACCATGGCTGGTATTTTCGAAGCCATGGTAGACCAAGGATGACATCGAATTTGTCATCCAAATATAGTACGATAAAGTCATCATCGTACTGCTTTCCTTCTAGCGTGTAGTGGATTCCCACTCACGTTTGTTCGCTGTTACGGATGCGCCTGTAGCAAGGCACACCGTCATCCTCGTTGGAGGGAACACTCGCTCAACATAGATGAGCCTACTATCCCCAAGCGACTGATGTCGAATAAAACTGTTCGACGCACCACAGTCAACTAGGGCGCAAAGTGACATTCCACTTGTCACTTCGATCTTCACAGCGATGAGAGGCTCCTCATCACCAGGGGCAGTAACACACAGCGAATGTGTGTTGAGAGCAAGCTTCGTCTCGAGTCCTGCAAATTCTTGACGTTGCTGGATCAGCAGGGTGCTCCGCCCCTACTGACCCTGTCCATTTTTTGATGGTCCGACTTGCTATCGTGGCTTGGCGACATGATCGGACCCACGCCTCGGACCTTTCCTTGACCAACGGTGGTCATCACGTCCTGTATTTGGACGTGTAGCGGTGCTCTGGACACTACAGTCATACGCTTAGTGTCCAATATGACAGCGATGGCATCTTGCCGTTCGCTTGTGATTCAGAGAGCGAGAGTTCTCGTTCTCGATGTAACAGAGGTCCATTAATTCGGGACCTCCTGTTTCCTGTCGTCTCGTCGAACGATAGTTTGACGAGTTAGCCTGAGACTGTCTCAGGCTGAAGTCTTCTTGTTCCGCATACGCTATCGCCCTTTTCAGCGTATGGAAGTCATCTCGGAACATGTAGGTCTTCACCGGCCGATCCACAAGGCCGTAGATGAACACGTTAATGAGCGTGTGCTCATCAACAGGGTTTTCCGTAGCGCTACTCGCAAGGTAGCGCAGGTGCCGTGCATAAGCGTGCACGTCATGCTTACCTTGATTTAGCCTCAAGAGTGCAGAGCGTGCTCTGGACTCGGCTCTCGGTGGCTCAAACGTCTCTTTGAGCCGAGACTTTAAGATCTCAAAGGACTCAAACACGTGTGGGTCGTGAAGCTCGAGACCTAAGGCCCAAGTCTTTGCTCGTCCTGTCAAATTTGACACGGCGAAGGTGACTTACATCTCGTCACCCTCGATGTGACGGGTCCTGATGGCGTCGTCTAACTCGACGAACCATCTCAAAAGGGAATCTTCGTCGGTCCCCTTGTACCTTGAGATGTCTATCTTCAAGGTTTCGGGTCGACGCGTGTGCGTCGGCCCACCCATCGTACTGGTAAGGGCCTTGCTGGTGAAGCAAGGCTATCTTCTGTCTTTCGACGGCAAGTTTTCTTTGTAGGAACTTGTTGACAGCGGCATGTTGGTGGTCTCTACTTAGAGACTCCAACATACCACTGATGGCGGTTTCGCCCATGAGTACACTCATGCGGCCGACTACCTCCCATTCTGAGTCACTCAGATGGGAGTAGCTTTCACGTGTGACGTGAAAGCTGTCGTCTTCTACGTCCAACATGTTCCTGTTGGACGGACACTAAGTAGTCGTTTGGCGAATTACGAAGTGCTACCAGGTGTATCGGGGCACCTTTTGTTTGGGGTGCCGCGAAACTGCACGTACTAGTGTACGTGCAGAGGAAGCTAATCTCTTTGAACGACTCGGTCAAGTAAAGGTAATAAGAGAACTGTATTTAATATAGTTAAGCTATCAATATAACCTCAGTCTTTATCTAACTATATTAAACTACGCCGTTGTATGACGACAACCTGCTCACCACCCATTGCGCGCGTCTAGCAGCGATTGGTGGCAATCTATGGTTGATATGTCTTACATCAACTAATCTTGGAGCAGCGCATGAATATTATCTAAAAGGGGATAATATTCCTTCAATATTATCCATCTCGGATAATATTGGTAGAATATTGTCATGCTAGACGATATTCCTTTTGACACCGTTTGGTGTCAATTTCATGTAACGGGCTACCCCGTTACACTTGCTAAAAAAAATTGAATAGTTTGTGATTCGGTCTGATAGATCTCTCATAATGCCAATTTTATGCCATTCGCTTATGCAGGTTTTGTAGCACTTCAGCGGAGTGACCAGACCAGATTTATAGAACACACCTCCGTGAAATAAATGCGGACGCAAACCACCGCCGCAACATGCCTGCATTATTAATATTGTCTTTTATTTACTAAGTTGTCAACAAAGTCCTGTACGTGCGTGTATAAGTCCCCTTATGATGGTGTGTACCTGTCTACTGAGCTGGCAAAAGCTGTTGGTATTTTCTTGCGCAGCCTCGACTGCTAATGTCTCAAATTTTATGATAGATAAAAATTTAAGAAAACGTTTTCTCGCAACGCCTTTCGTTACGACACTACAGCAAATCTGAGAGACAAGCAAATATGTACCCCATTGTCGGTACAATGCAGTAGAAGCAGTCTCCCCAGCATCCGGCGCTGCGACGACGACATTTGTCGATACGAACAAACATTCAGCCTTCATCGATCTGATGGACGAGCCGCATTTCCGCCGGCTGCTCAAGCTCCAGACACGACGACGAGAGGCTTTAATCGGCAGTGAATTGAAGATCCGCACTAAGACTAGCCACGTGCTAGCACTTGAAGACAACAGCAGTGCTTGGTACACCGTCTACTGCATGCACATCCACCGAGCTTCAAACAATCGACACGGCGATGATGACCAGTGGGTGCTGAGGAAACGATATTCGGAGCTGGACGCCTTTCGACGCCTCTTCTGCAAGCGAATAGAAGACTGGGAAAATACTGTCCATAGGGAGTTTACTCGCAATACAGCCGCCCGCAGCCAACAGATGTTTGCAGTCGTTTCAAACGCAATGCGTCGCGCTCTATCGCCGTCGTTTCCCAAGAAGCATATTCGATCCGACAAGCCTGCAGTTGTGCGAGGAAGAGCAGCCAGACTTCCAGATTTTGTACGGAAGCTGGTGGGGGTGTACACCGACCTGGCAGTTTTCAAGAGGAACAGTCAGCTGCAGGCCGGTGGCTTCGCCTCTTCTTGGGCCCAGTTGTGCACCATCTTCTTGGAGCTTGAGACGTTTCTCGAAATTCCGCAACCCCAAAAAGACGCTGAAATTCAGCTGCAGTCCGCTGTGTTGGCGCTCAAAGACTTCACCGAAGGCGAAAGTGCTAGAGATGGAGGTGCATACGAGCAGGTGTGCCCCATTTGCCTTAACGAGGATTCATCAACAGAAAAAATGCGTCCAGTTGTATCTCTGCCGTGCGGTCACCGCTTTCACGAAGATTGCGTGATCGACTGGTTCAGCACGAGCCCCACGTGCCCGCTTTGTCGCCAGAACTCGCACTCGTAATACTCGCCCGAGGACTTCTGACGCTACATCAGTCTTGATCACTGCAGAAAATCTGTCGACGTCGTGGTCGGAGGCCCAGCGGCGTGTAATAAGTTTGTGTGTTTTGTAATGCGGCAATGGGATTAGCGGGGTTTTACATTGGACAACAGCATACTCATGTATGAGGCTGTCGTTCTATCGGTTGCCGTAAGTCGCACGAATACATAACCATCATGTTTGAGTTTATGTAAAAATATTGTTTCTTCCAGCTTTGATTAAACTGAGCTCACCCCGATGCACGGGTGTATTGCAAGCACCAAGCGGCTTCGATACATGAAAGTATATTGTTTTACGTTACTGCAAGCGTTAAAAGGCTTCAGTAGAGCTCCTAACTGATGTTATCCCATACTTATAATTTAAGAAGCGTATGTATCTCATTCTCACCGCGATAGCATAAAATAAAATTTACAACAAATGTACCACCACCACCATGTCGTCGTGAATTTAAAAAGGGCGATAAGCGTTGCATAAAATAGTTGACGTCGGTCCAAGCAGCCCGAATACGTAGCTGGACCAGAAGGTTGGAGTGTGTGTGTACATTTATAACAATATATTCGCCATCTACTTTTCCAGCTGTCATGGAAATTCCGGATTATTTGCACTCTATCTTACATTTATATTGTTTGCCTACCCGGGCTTTGTGGACTGCAAGAATGCAGTCTACTTCGACATAGCTCGTCTTCGCGCCATACCATGTACAGTATACTCCGCAAGCGTTAGTTTGAATCGACTAGGTCAATATAACTGGGGAAATGGTGTTGTTGCATCAATGCGTTGTCCATTAGTGCTCGTGTAAAGCTACAGGATACCAGTGCGAAAGCACAACTAAGCGCCCATCTAATCTTCTAGTACGCAAACTTGCTTTTCATTGTCAAATCGTAGTCAATTAGTTGATTGGTTGAGAAACGACAATCCCGCGATTACTTACTTGCAGTGCATGTAGCCAAAGAAACGGCGTAAACTGTCAGGTAAAGTACAAGGTTTATGGCCGAGAAGACTTTGTAACGATTATGTCTTCGGCATAATCCAGCATAGCACCAGCGTAATAGTAATCTTTGTATCCAAAGTAGCTCCGACAAACCCTTTTAACATGTGTCGCTGATGGCGGGCACGTGTCGTCTAAAGATAGATGATCTAGTGGCCGCACGACTGGATATAAACAACGCCGAAACCAACACTGGATATGTCTTTAATGTCAGACGATGTAGACGAACCGGAAAGGACGATAGTAGAGGTAGCTTCGCCACACTGGAGTAAGACAACGACAGCTTGCAACTGTTTGCCAAACTTTTTAAGCCACTCAACCAATAGAGATTGATGCCCCCATCCTTGAACTTGGCACCTGATGTCAACGAGGTCATGAGGAGTGTGCCAACTGCAAGCAGTCGCCGTACAACCTCAAGTTCAGGCTCAACTCCTTGCCACTCAGCTGTCATTAAACAGCGATGCACAAAGCGAGACTGAGCAGCCAGGCTACCGACAGTGTCACCCATTGGTACCAAAAGCCTCTCGTATATGCCTGGATGGAAGCGGGTGCTTTACTACACAATAGCATATGTGAATATTGTGAGTGTTGCTGACATTAAAGGAGGCGGGCAAATCTGGACGGACTAAAAGCGCGAACGCCATCCGGCGCCCGACGCGTCATTCGTAGAACAAAGGGCATGAGGACCATGCTGCAGCTTAGCCATCTCGTCTACATACTGATCAACCGACAGCTCGATGCCTTCTTCAGCTAACAGTAGTTGTTCGATCTTTCTCAACTTCAGTTTCGATGGCTTTTTCTATGACTCAGCAAAGATGATCTTCCCACGAAACACAGCGTGTTGAACTTCAAGCTTGAAGTTGCTGCCATAGGTTGAACAGCGGCCTGTTTCGGTATTTTACGGCACTACTCATTAACGGACTCGCGCCTCAAAGTTTTTTTTAATCAGTCCAAACGAGACGAAGTCACGCTCGTTGGCCTTTCACGCAGCATGCTTTCCTCCTCCACGTCGGCGGCGCTGCTGCTATCGACGACGGTGCCATCATCTCCATTCGTGCGCACTTCGACGACGGCTTTACAAGGGCCGCTGATGTCGATTGAGCTGACTCGCCAGCGTCAAAACGAATTAGACTGCAGCTCCAACGACCTGCAGACAGCTGGACCACACTATCACTCTGCCCTGCCAGTGTTCATCAAGACCCTGGCTCCATGTGGCACCACGGAGTCACGACACGGGCTCGGCGTGCGCTCCCCATCATCGCCCTCCTCCTTCGCCTTACAATTAGAAATGACCAAGGTTTGCTACTTGCACACAAATCGGTTCACTGGCTCTAGCGTTTGTGGATTGTAGTAATTCACTGCCGTCATTGCAGCGATAATTTATTGGAGTCTCATCTTATGGCTGCTTTTGATATGTGCAGTCTAGCTTGACCCCACTCATTGAAGCCGCAGAGCAAGTGCTTCCATCGAGTGACCAGACCACGTTGCCGCAATACGTGCACTCGAGCACGCTGAAGCGAAGTCTGCCACTGACGCTACCTCCCATAATGCAGGCTATACGCGGCTGCCCTCTCGGAGCCCCGCGAGCGTCAAAGAGATCTCGCGCCGATTCAAACGATGGTCTGGATGAGCAGGTTATCTACCCCTTGCTTGATTACGTGCCCATTCGGTCAACCATCTGCTTTTCTGTTCCTCAACAACTTGCACGGAATTTGCCGCATGAACAAGATCACGAACATAACGTCATAAATCATGTGTCGAACATCCGCACACATCCATTAAACGGCGTCGAGACAAGATCGCAGGACGCACTGGGACCACCTCGTATCAGCAATTCTGTATGGGAAGTAGTACTGGCTACAAACATGTTTCCGACGAGCATTTGCCTCGAAGAGAACAGAAGAGTCAGTATCGTTTCTCCAACTGGTCAGGGCACAGTCAACTTAAGTAGCGAAAACTTTGTTGACTCAGCTACGAACAGAGCAGTAAAGCAAAGCCACCACTTCGTCAAAGAGCAGGAATGCGGCGCTGCCCCATTTCGTACTGCAAAGGAAGAAAAAGCTGTACTGCCGCCATACGTACCGATACAAACTCCCGCTAACGACGATTCGCAATGCACGACCACGCGCATCGACGAGAAACATTGCAGCCTGCATTCGATCGGTCGTGGCCCTCTTGACCAGAAACACAAGCTCGTGATCCCGCGAGACATGCCGTTTAACCCGCTCAGTCTTAGATCCATCATGGATAACAAGTCTACTTCTTCGTCGTGTTGCGACGTTTCCGATATGTCGAAGACCAGTGCCGGCTCGTTCCTCGCGAGAACTGGCCGTGAGGACAGGAAACCAATAAAGCCAACTCAGCGAGTCCCGAAGCGGTCTGACTATTCCCAGCACGATTTGGTGCGTAGCGGTCGGTGGTCGGTGGAGGAGGAGACTTACGCCAAAGCGATGATCGAAGCGTTCAAGTCTGGTATTCTTCCACTTCACGGGAACACATCTTTACGCAAGTTTCTGTCCGAAGTACTCGTGTGTCACCCGATGCGCATTAGCAAAAAGTTTGTGGGCTATGTGCGGAAGTATCACTGGTACCGTATCACCGCGGGCAAATGTGACCCGAAAGTGAAGCGACAGGCCTTGTACAAACTGAGGAGCCTCGAACGAAATTTCTGGATGTCTCAGAAACAGAACAGCGAGCGACCTTCCGGTCACTGATAGGCCACCCAGTTCGGTAGGCATCTCATGATTGTAGTGGCGACGAGCATGTTTAGCGAGCGAGACCGGACGAGTAATGGGGTGATTTGCTTGTCTGAAAAGCAAGCGTGTAAGGTAATAGTATGAGTATAACAAAGAATCGAAACAAAAAGTAAGCGGTTGTATGTGCTACTATAAAGTCTAGAGTGCGTCCTGCAGAGGTAGAGCACTCCACCTAGTGTTTGTCCAGCGTCAAAGCAGTTAAAGATGTTAGAGCACCTTCTGCAGTCAGTACATCTCTACTTTTTACCCAGTTACTTAGTTATACACATAGAAGTGCGCCACAGCAGCGACAGCATGAGAGGAAAGCTTAATTTTTAGTAATTCCGCTTACAGTTTGTAGTTCTGAGAAATCCAATTAAACTTTTTTGGCTGCTTGTCATTGGCTCAGGATTTTGAGATGAGCTTTTCATTGAACGAGGTTAGCCACTCGTCAACAGCTGCAGTTATTTGAGAAAACGAAATATTTCAAAAAATATGACGAATTTAGAATTGTTCTAATAAAACTCTATTTTTAAATCCGAATCCATTCAAAAATATTAACGCGACTAATTCTTCTACCAGCCTCACTTGGCCGAATATAGACATTTATCAGAAAGTCATCCCAACTGCTGTGAAGTAGTGTGGGCATAAATTGAATTAAAGGCTATACTAAGTCACTGGTAAAGATGCTTTTATCCACTTAAAACTATCCGTTGTAAAACTTAATTTCTGTAAATAGGCGGGAGGGATCTTGTGATAAAAAACAAGTGTTCAACATACCCCATTTTTTGTAACGGGGCACCCTTCGTTTGGGGTGCCGCGAAACTTCACGTACACTAGTACATGCAGAGGAAGCTAACTACTTGAACGACTCGGTCAAGTAAAGGTAAAAAGAGAACTGTATTTAATATAATTAAGCTATCAATAAAACTTCAGTCTTTATCTAACTATATTAAACTACGTCGTCGTGTGACGACAACCTGCTCACCACTCATTGCGCGCGTTCTAGCAGCGATTGGTGGCAATCTATGGCTGATATGTCTTATATCAACTAATCTTGGAGCAGCGCATGAATATTATCCAAAAGTAGATAATATTCCTTCAATATTATCCATCTCGGATAATATTGGTAGAATATTGTCATGCTAGAAAATATTCCAATTGACACCGTTTGGTGTCATTTTCATGTAACGATTCACCCCGTTACATTCTCCCCCTTAATCACCAATCACCCATTATTTAGATCCGATTTGATTGGGACAGGGTGACCACCATTGGATCACCCTGGGAAAGGGAGCACTTGTTGGTCAAATTCCATTCATTTGCCGATCCAAAACATGGTTTCGAAAACCAAGCGAGTTGCTACTGCAGCAGCAAGAAGAGCGACTGCACACATGCGTGCGGCCGCGAAAAGTGCCTCTTACACCTCAGCAGCAGGCTATTCGTCGCCTGTTGTCGTGAATCCTCCATGTGGTGAGTCACCACGTGCGACAGGTACATCCGTTGCGTCTGCAGCGAATACCGCGAATCGTAATCCAGACGAGTCTGAGATAGAGCTCATCTATTCTGGCGAGTCGGATGATGCATCCGACTCGAAGGCGACCCCTCACGCCTCGGGATAACTCGGGGCGGACGCTGCAAAAGCCAGGCTGATTGGATCTGGTCAGCGCGGCAGCATCATGACCGAGATCTTCGGATCGAGTGATTACTCCGATGAGTCTCCACCTCACGCAAGTCCAATCAACGAAAGGACGCGTGGAGATGGTGGTGATGCACCTATGCATTACCACGAGCGAAACAACTCGAGGGATCGGGGTAACACTGCTGCAAGTGCTCATGCGGACACCAATCAAGAGGCCAGGGACCGAAATGTCCTGCACCACGCTCCTCAAGTGGAGTCTCCGTGGATGCCGCCATCCAGAGAGTTGGACCGGTTGGCAGGCACGACTACCGAACGAGATCGAATCCCGTTGTTCGATTGCACGAAGATTTGTCCGCCTGATTCCAGCACGGAAACTATCCGTGCTGAGGAAGAATTTTTCACCGATGCATTTTCAAACATCGGTGGTAAAATGGCAGCCGTGTTCAAGAAGGTAAAGCCTTGGTGCAGGATAGAATGCCCTCATCCATAACAACGAGTGCATTAGCCGTGGGCCTGGCTCGACAGACTTGATGCAGCTCGCATCAGGTTTGAGAAACGCAACCTCGTCGGGGCGCGATATAAGTTGCACCGGCTTTCAAGAGAGGCAGGTTTACCTTGTATCTCGTAGGATGATTCGTGTCCGGGTTGCCTGGACAACTCGGACCGTGCCCCTAGGGAGGCCTACCTCCCTAATGATCTCTACTGGAGGGCGCGCATATCTTCCGAGATGACCGAAGGGATCGACACTTTGCAATCCCTGTACTCGCGTTTGGGGAGGTCGTTTTCCGACGGCCCTTCTTCGAACGCAGCGGGTGGGTCTCGTCGTACTGCTCGACGAGACCAAGGACATCAACAATCAGGTGACTTGTATCTCGTCACCCTCGATGTGACGGGCCCTGATGGCATCGTCTAACTCGACGAACCATCTCAAAATGGAATCTTCATCGGTTCCCTTGTACTTTGAGATATCAATCTTCAAGGTTTCGGGTCGACGCGTGTGCGTCGGCCCGCCCATCGACTGATGAGAGCCTTGCTGCTGTAGCAAGGCTATCTTCTGTCTTTCGACGGCAAGTTCCCCTTGTAGGAACTTGTTGATGGCAGCATGTTGCTGGTCTCTGCTTAGAGAGTCCAACATACCACTGATGGCGTGTTCGCCCATGAGCACACGCGTGCGGTCGACTACCTCCCATTCTGAGTCACTCAGATGGGAGTAGCCTTCACGTGTGACGTGAAAGCTGTCGTCTTCTACGTCCAACATGTTCCTGTTGGACGGACACTAAGCAGTCGTTGGACAGACTACGAAGTGCTACCAGGTGTAACGGGGCACCCTTTGTTTGGGGTGCCGCGAAACTTCACGTACACTAGTACGTGCAGAGGAAGCTAATCTCTTTGAACGACTCGGTCAAGTAAAGGTAATAAGAGAACTGTATTTAATATAGTTAAGCTATCAATATAACCTCAGTCTTTATCTAACTATATTAAACTACGCCGTTGTATGACGACAACCTGCTCACCACCCACTGCGCGCGTCTAGCAGCGATTGGTGGCAATCTATCAATTGAAACCGTTTGGTGTCAATTTCATGTAACGGGCTACCCCGTTCTACCAAGAGACTCTTTGAGTCTAAGACTTCCTCTGTTAAGGAGCGCTAAGTAGCTTCGTTACATCAAGGACCAGAGATGGGAAAGATGACGGACTACTGTTGCACGAGGCACGATTTTGAGGTGTACGCTTTTCGCTGCTTCTTGTTTAAGCAGGATGATATTGTATTTTTGGTGTGCTGAGCTATTAAATTTTCTTGAACATTATATATCAGAATTAGCTGTTATGAATGTCTACTTAAAGAAAGAAGAAGGAGTAGGTTTAACTAAAGGGGATTGAATCTAACAACATTTTTAAAAGCTGGTAAGTCAGCGACCAAGTCACGTAAACGGGGAATCTGGGCGTCACTACGTCCTTCCATTTTTGTGACCATAGTGTCAGTTTGTAGCTGTGGGTTTCATACCTTGCGGTCCCGGACCATCACTCTGTCGATTACTACCAAATACTCGACATGCAGATTCGAAGCCTCCTGTTGCAACGCAGACTTGGGCTCTCTCACCCCACAAAAGCTGCTCGTTGTTGCACCCGTAAGCGCCTGCGGTTTCTCCCCCCTTTTTCTGTGGTGATGGGTGTAGGCGCTGCAGCATTGGTGTTGACAAAGCCACCCGAAAGTGTGCAGCGACTGCTTCGTGCTTTGCACTTGGGGGTGTTGGTTCTTCATGAGAGCGAAGTGGCAAAATCACTAGCCGACGCAGTGGTGCTGGCGATACAGTGGAGCAATATTCTGAGCCGAGGTGACTTGGAAGACACGTTGGTGGAACGTCTGCTCAGCTGCATTCTAAGTACTAAAGACGACAAGAAGGAGCAAGGCACACTGCGTTTTTTTGTCGATCAGGGCGCCTTGTCGTTGCTACTACAGTACACAGCTTGGACAAGACCAACAGATACCACAGTGCTGCAACGTGTGTGGCATTTTTTTACTATCGCATTGTTTGAATTGCTGCTTACACCTTATGTGATGTTTGTCTTGCTACTGCAGAGCTAATGCTTTGTATGAGCAAACTACTAAATGTGGCCTTCGAAGAAGAACGAGTGGATTTGGAGCTGCCAGTTATAGCACTTGCACGAGCTCTTGGCCACTTCATTCACCAAAACGACAGTGCCGTGATTAGCGTTGGCATGCTGCAATTATGCGAAGCTTTGATGAAAATACAGCAACTAGCTCACCGAAAACTGGAGGATGGAGTGGATGCATCTCGAACTTTGATGGTTCACCAATCTTATCTGGCCGACTCTGATACCTCCAACGTTTCCGAAAGCTGTGCCACGCTGGTAGAATTGTGTTCTCCAGAGATGCCGGACTCGATAAAAAGTGTTGGTCTGTGGGCACTTAATGCACTCGCACAAGCGGTAAATCGAGAGAATTCGGGTAGCCTTCAAGTGCAACAGCTACATGCAGCTTTGGATCCCACATTTGCCACCATAATTATGGCACTTCCACGAGATAGAGACGGTCTAAGCATGCAATTACAAGCTGCTATGGTGACGAATAGTCTAGTTAATATTGCTCGGCACAACGCGGCTGCAGCGACACGTGACACGTATAAATTGTGGATGGAGCAAATTTGTTACTGGTCGGAAACGGAGCTAACCGAAGAGCCTGGCGCCACTGAACAAACGTGGAATCGAAGAAAAGCGGGTCATGTAGTTCATAGCGAGAAAGAAATAACAAAGGGGCTACGACAATCACAGAGCTTACAGCTTCAACTGATAAGCTCACAGTGCATGCGCACGCTGACAGCGTCTCCATGGAGCCGGCGGTACATCTGTGAGTCTTTGAAGACACGAGCAGCATTGTTCGAATTATCTCGTCGGATCCATGAAAGACAAAAGACAATCAGGATTTCTGGCGATGAGGATTTAGCGAGGGTGATGGAAGGCATTCAGCGGCACGTATCGTGGACATTTCGGAATATGTGCACAGGATTTCAGAGCGGCGCGATAGCGCTCAGTTGTTTGTTCGATACGTCCTGGACGGCATCGTTGCTGCAGTCACGTCAACTTCTGCCAATGTCACGAATTTTTCGCGGGGTGTATGATCTGACAGACTTGCCTATAATCGGTGCTGAAGAGTATGATGCTAGTATTGAATATGGATGGGTTGATATCTTGACGGCATGGACCGCCAGCACGGACCGCCAAGTTCGTGAGAATGCTATTACCAGTCTAGTATTTCTAGCTGAGCAGCACCAGCCATATCGTCCAAATCTGTTGTGTCAGGATATGGAGGCGGTCAGCAATAAACAAGAGCACATTCTTCAAGCCTGGCTCACAAATATGCTACAGCGTATTCGTTCACTTTCGGGTGGCGAGCTCCTCGCAGTGAAGCAAATGGAAGAGATTGCTCACATCTCAGAAGAATTGACCCCGGGGAACGAGCAAATTCTGTTCAACCCTGCAGTTGTTGACGCTGGCACGTCAGCTCTAGCAGTATTGGCTGAGCACCACCACGCTGAGTTAGTGCAGCAAGGTGTTGTTCCTCTAGTGGCTCTGCTCGCTACAACTAGTGCTTCCACACCTGCGCAGCATACACAGTGTGCACGTGTGTTGGCGAACTTAGTTGCTACGTATTGTCTCGAAATTGACCCACGAAGCTCAGCGCTCTCCATCGATCCTGCTCTGAATGGTGCTCGAAGCGACCACGTCGACATTGCCAAGCTGCTTAGGCAGACGGCTTCCGGCCGGCACATCTTACGTAGTATGTATCGCTGGCGCGAGTGTGATGACCCAATGCAGCGTTCGAACTACTTTCGCGTTGTACAGAATCTCCGTGCTTACAAAGAAGTATTAACTACTGGTCATTTGGTGATGGACGTGTACTGTGAAGGCGTACACCCGATCGTCCCTCAAAGTGAAATTGACTCAACGGATCAATGCATGGACGGTGAAGGTGCTACCCCGCTGATCGACGTTGTGTTTGTGCATGGCCTACGGGGACATCCGTTTGGAACGTGGCGCACCGATATGGGTCACGAAGCAGACGAAAGCAACGACGTTTGGCCAGCTGTGCTACTTGCAAAGGACTTGCTGCGCGAGCGCGTACCCGCACGATTAGTGACACTAGGCTACGAGGCTGGTATGGTGAGCTGGTCAAGTCCGTGGCCTTCGCTTACTTTGCAAGAGCGCGCACGCGTCATGCTTTCAGCTCTTTATGCTGCTAATATTGGACGCGACCGTCGCCATCCGGAGGGACCAGCTCGCCCCATTGTCTTCGTAACCCATTCGATGGGTGGCTTGTTGGCCAAAATGATGCTACTACTAGAGCGTGAGCAGTGCGATCTATCAGGAGTGGCAGACAGCACCAAAGGAGTGATCTTTCTTGCTGTTCCACATTTTGGCTCGGAATTAGCAAAAGGCGTGCGGTCCGAGTCTGTTCGTAAGTTAATTCAGACGCATCCAGCCATCGAAGACCTCGGAGCGGACCCCAGTGGACGTCTTAAGAAATTAAACGATAACTTCAAGACGCTGGGCATCGACTGTTTAAGTGTGGGCGAAGAGCAGGCTTCGCCAATAGCTCTTGGCCTCTCCGCTGTCGTCGTAAAGCCTCGTTCGGCTGATCCAGGCATCGGTCGCTTTTACGTACTACCTGGGTCTGACCACATGACAATTTGTAAAGTCAAAAGCCGTAACGAGCTGCTCTACCAGGACATTCTACAATACATCGTTCAGCATGCCGCCGTAGACGACAAACCTCGCTAAAATAGCTTTTACGATATAGTGGTGTGGCATTAGGACGGACAGCACACATTGAGGGCTTGACTGCATAGTGTGTAACACGCACGTGTTCTCCTTTGACTCTGACAAAGTAAGCCTGGTAACCGTTCAGCACGACGATTGAAATGTCTGCTCCAAGCTCTGCGCCAAGCGTCAAAATGTTGACACTTAAGTGATGTTACGCCCGATCTTGTGGTCGGTGTGCATGGACTAACTTTTCGTGTCCAAGTGAAAAATTGAAGGTTTGTTGAAACAGCTCATACGTCCAGATAGGCGCAATGTTTTCTACCTGGACTTTCGGGTGAGTCTTGCATAAAAGTCCAATGGCCGCAGCTAGTGCACTCTTTATTTTGCCTGTCCCAACTGTTGTTATTTGTAGTCATCCTTTTGCGTCATAATGGGATGCACGAGTAGCACCATGCGCCATAAGCCGTCGCAATTCGACAAAATTGAGGCGGTATTACCAGTCTCACCTTCGATGTCGTCTCCTTCTTCAGACGCGCCCGCAATTCTTGAATCTCCGACGTCTACGACCGCATATTGCACTTTTCCTACTACAAAGCTTGTCACGGCGCCACCGTCTGTAAAACCATCTCGACGTCGTCTGCATCGACGACGACGGCAGGAACCACATCTTGATCACCATCTCATGGACCGACTGGGCACACTTGCACAATATCTTCAGAAGGTACCTCAAGTCGACAATAAGAAGACTCTATACGCACAAGCGCAGAGGGCTCTCGAAGATCTGTTAGACAGTATCCACGCCTTTTTCTTTGAATACGAAAGCGAAAAGCGCACACTATGGCGTCTTGCGCAAACAGGACGAGTGGTACAGCAAGTTGAAAGCTTTCACCGAGCGCTGGATGCTATAACTGCCCGTTGTGGTCTGATAGTAGCTACGCCCACTGGGATAGGGCCCTCACTGCCTCGATGGCAGTCACGCTGGCGTCGAATGCGGGCGGAACGTCTTGTGTTCCTCCGATCGTACTTGGATGATCACGAATCCGTCGTTGTCTCGAACTCGCGAATTCGAAGGCTATCGGATCAATTGGAAGTGCTGACACTACTCAAACACAGTGTTCAAAAATTTGACACACTGCTAACGGCAGATGAGTTAAAGCTTTTGGAACACGCGTATGCTTTTGCGGTAGGGGACCGGACGAATAGTATACACTGTAATACGCAACTGCACGCAATGTGCTTACCGGAGTGGTTTGTTGCTCCCTACGACAGGACCAAGCAGCTTCTCAAATGGCAGCGCACTGCTGTGATTGTGCAGAACGCACCAGAGGCAATGAACCTAAACGAGTGTTTTACGCTGGCAAGTATTTGGTCATGTCTGCAGCATTCGCACATTATGAAATTATACGGAGCGTGTCATGTGGGTCAGCAGCGTTTCTTCGTAGTAGCAGAAGGAACGCCACTAACTCGATGTTTTCGTGATGATGGGTTCCCACTGTGGCGAGCATTGCACGAGGCTGCTAAAGCCCTGCAGTACCTTCACGAGAGGCGCATCGGCCTTTCATCTCTTTCGTGCGCCGACCTAATTTTATTCCGCAGTGATGATACCGATGCCATCATGCTCGCTGGATATAATATGAAGTTATTCAAGTCAGGTATGGAGTCGTTGAACGTCTATGGAAGCAAGATTAGGGAATACGAAGATCAAGACCCTGTGCTAGAAGAGAACGTGAGCGACGTTAGCTGTGATGATGTTGATATGATATACCAAGATCAAGTGGCTCAAGCAAAACGGATACCTTTGGGAGAACGTTCTCAAAAAGAGACAGCTAAAAGATACTGGCAAGCACCGGAGCTGGCGAGCACGACCGATGAAGGACCAACGGAAGAATCTGACATTTACGCTTTGGGGATGTGCGTCATTGAGGCTTTTTCGGGTGGAAACATACGGAGTGAGTTCGAGTGCTGCCATGATGGGATACCACCAAAGCCAGCAGCACTAGAAGACACGTCACAGCGGGATTTTGTAGAACGCATGTGCTCTTTTGATCCAAAAGATCGACCACGAATAGTTGAGGTGGTTTCGAGCTTCCAGACATTTGCCAGTGACGAACAAAAGATTCGTACACGTTTTTCTGGTACAAAGCTGAGAAAAAAAGCGCGTCTTCATGGTTTAAACCGGACTCAAGCACCAGCTACCTCAGTTTCGATTGCCTGCACGCTCAGTGAAGTTCGCGCGTGGTGCGACGAGGCTTCTGAAAGTTCAGCTATAAGCTATCAGCTTTATGAGCGAATGGACGACATAGCAGCTCAATTAGAAGGAATGGACGTAGACAAAGCTGTGTCGCACCTTCCTGTACTAGCAAACTTGACTTCACGCTTCCGAGACTTGGTTCAGCGACATGTCAACCAAAAATCTCTTCTTCGGCTGGCCGCAACGCGTCATGTCATTGAGATGAATGCAAGTTTGCATGGCGAGCTAGATGTTTTAATGAGCAGGCTCGCACCTGATTGCTTGGAGCCTTCAATCCATTCCTGGAATTCCCAGCAAGCGTCATACACGGAAAAGCTGTGGAAGCGCTTACGTACTACTTTATCAAGACATGATCACCTACTAAATGGAGGTCTGGACGGAAATCAAGAGCTTGCGTTGCTCGGTACCTTGCTGGCATTTGAAGTTAAGAATCGGAGTGCAAGTTATGCTATCCGCGACCTGGAGTTGATGAAGGCTGCGCTAGATACAGTGGAAGAAGCGTATCGAAGCATTATGCCATCCAATTTCTGCACTAATGAGTCTAATTCGATGTCAGCCTTTCCCCCATGGTTCATTCCGCCATATGAGGTGGCGTACTACAAGCATGATGGTGCCAACCGAGGGGTATCTAGCGCTGGACATTTTGGCAGGTGGATGAATGTAGCCGTCGTGGTCAAGGAAGTTCCACCCCTAGAACGGCCTGGCAAAGCTTGCATGCTGAGCAGTCGAAGAGGTGCGCATTGTACATCCAGCGTCATCGAGCCAACAGAGGAGCCAGCAAGACTATTTGAGAATGAGATGACAGTCTGGTCAGCGCTTAAGCACCCCAATGTTCTGAAACTACTGGGTGCTTGCCACATGGGGCAACATCAATTCTTCGTTTGTGAATACGCAGCTCAAGGATCTGTCGATATCTTCCTAGCTTCACAGCCCGGAGAAGAGCGCACCGTGTGTGCACATCGCGTGCTGCGCGAGATGGCTCTCGGATTGCATTATTTGCACGCACACAACGTTGTGCACGAGGACCTGAGGTGCTGCAACATTCTTGTAGATGCAAAAGGTGTCGTCAAATTGGCAGATTTCGGATTCAGCTCTATTAAACCTGGAAACCGATCGGGAGAAGCGTGTCAGTGGACAGCTCCAGAATGTCTTACCGGGGAATTGCCGACTTTCGCATCCAATGTGTATTCCTTCGCCATGTGCGCAATTGAAGTCGTCAGTGGGGTGATGCCGTTCGGTTGCGAGCTGTCGGATGCTAAATCAAAAATTTGCAAGGGCTTGCTACCCCCACGGCCTACCAACTGCTTCTCTGATGCTGACTGGAACCTCATTAAACGTATGTGTAGCCATGACCCGAAAGAACGCATTACAATGAGCGATGTAGTCCAACAACTGTAGCAAAGTACAACATGAATTCTCGATCTGCGCTTACCCTTCCCTCTGCTAGCGCCACCCCTCTTGTACCGGTATCACTACAGAATGAGATTCCTGGTACTGAAATATTCGTTAGCCCATTTGCCAATTCTTGTACCTTTTCTGAGGTATCAGTTAAATCAAACCCTTTTATTTATAAATATAACCTTTCTTTCGTTAAATATACACTTGACGGCCTATTGTGATTGGTCGAGTTTGTGATTATTTTATGAAAAAAAGGCCCATCTAATCTTAGAAAATAAAAAGACCCCAAAAAATTAGAAAATAAAAAATTCCCCACGTCCTAGTAGACTCAAGTAAACGTGGCGCACACACTGACAGAGGACTTATGCTATGCTTGCGTATCAACGCTTATTTTCGTTGATACATATCTACCTGCACAAGGAAAGATTAGGGAAAGATTAAGCGTACCGGTCACGAGTGGGTCATTGTACCAGCAATTTGTTTTGGCCAATCAAAGCTGTGATTTCTATTCTTAATCTGTTATACCCAATCTACCCCGCGTCGAGATTTTGTTCGTGATGAGCGACGAAGGCCGAGGTAATAAATAGGACGCGGAGAGTAGCGACTAATCTCATCAATTAATAAACTACATATTTTGGCTCCGTTGATACTTGCGGAGCACACTGTATTTGTTTGAGGCGTGCGTAAACATGCCACATATAAACAACGTGTGTCGATTTTCTTTACTATTCAGGAGGACGTCTGTGAGAGTCCACCGCCATCTAATACTCTTATAATAATGTCTTTTTAATCGTCATTCCTTATGGCTGGATGCCCTGAGGCTGAAATCATGGTATCGGCGTCATTGTTGCCGTCGTCGTGTTCATGATATTTTTGCTGACGACATTACTGCTAGCCGGATCATGGGAAACTGTAGCGAACTTCATGTTTTCCATGTATTTCATGAACAGGTCTCTTAGCGGTGCCACCGGAAATGCATTTCACGATGATGCTTATGTAGTCATTTCTGCAAATTAAAGATATGGGTGTTATATGGTAGAATTTGTACGCACGACACAAGCGTAGGATGCCTTGCTATCAAGGTAACTGCGTCGAAATATACACTGTACAAAGACTTTATCGCCTGGTATATATTCATTGTCTCCCACTCTCTGTTTCCTTTCACTTTGTAGCTCGTTGCCTGTCGGCAAGCGCCTAACAGCACATTCAATCCAAATAATCAGAATAAGTATAGGTATACCAAATCTTGGATGGTTATCATCAGAGTTAGATCGGGTTTACATCATTTTGATTGAGGTTCACTTTGATCGAATAAAACAAATTGCCGGCACAGCGACCCACTCGCGACCGGTACGTCAATTCTTTTCCAAAAGGTAAACGTATTTGTTGGAGTGAGTTAAGACTTCGACCAAATCAAATATCTTATGTGTAATTTCATGACCTCTTGTGCTCTACACGTCCAGCGTGTTGTTCTTGGCATTCATAGCCTTTGGTAACAGATATAGCGCTTCTGCCGATAGCACACCTTGGCAATGATCGCGGGGAAGTGCTTAACAAGAAAAAAAGTAAATATCAAAGTGAAATATCTTGTTTATCTCTTATAAACATAAATTATAAGCAACGTTCTTGTAGCACGAAGAGGGACATTTTAACGGAAATTGCCGGCAACCGTCATGACTACTGCCAACCCCATCAATCATCACGCATCAATCAGTAGATCGAAAAATAATAGAAGTCAAAGGTCACTCCCGTCTATTTTTGTCGAGTCCAGGCATTTGGACAGAAACGTGACCTTTTATTCCATAACGAGGTATTGTTCATATTTGCGGCACCAACAAATTCCTGCAATAGAACTTTAATGTCTTCAATAGCACTAGTACCGGTTTTAAATTGCTTTGTATCGTTCCGTCACATTGGAGACAGCTTTGTGCCCGCGGCAATTTAAGACGGCACTATCGTATATCTTTCTGACTAAATGATACGTCAGAGCACATTTTTAAAATGTCAATCCAAAACGTCCGGACGAAACCAATTCGGAAACGTTTTCTTACAATACAAATGACATAAATTGATAGATTATGCTAAAGGCATTATTTCACCTTCTCATGTTTGCTATAAACCTTAAGTTACAGAAGTCTAAAAGTATTCAGATTGATATAATAAGTAACACAAAGACAAAATGGAATCAGGTAGTTTATTTTCTGGATTATACATGCTGAAAGAGATATTTAAAATGAGCTGGAGCAAATTTTCATCCTAAATTTTTTTAACTAAACAGCAGCACTGCTGCACCAGCATCATAATTTAAAATTATCAACACGAAGGACACTACAGTAGTAGCACTGCAGAACCAGCTCAAAACTGAAAAACAGCAGCAGAAAAAGAACAGGCAAACCTGTACCAGAAACAACAACAAACAACATAAAGATCAGCAGCGAAAACAACAATAGTACTATTTGTAACAAGAGCAACAACGACACCGGCAAAAAACAGGAGCAACTGATACAACAGGAGACAACGATAACAATAATGCAACAATATTGACACTAGAAAAAATCGAAACACTAACAATATCTACGATTTCAGCACCGACTGTCCAATTTTTTTTAATAGACCGACGATATTAGGATGTGTCTACGTCTCCTTTTGCCTTTTGCTCCCCTGACTATCCCTCCAGAGTGGGGGTCGAGCACGGTCGTGAAAAATAATGCGGTATTTTATGTGTGCCACTTTAACTTGAGTGTGCTAGAACTTGGAGCATTTTGCTGTTAATCTCATGATCTGAGGCAAAAGAATCGTCATTAAAATTGGGGCAGTTTTAATGCTCACTGTTTTTATCGTATCCAAGCATGAATTTTAGGGGGGGGGCTTATTGTAATGAGTTACTAGTCTAGGCTAAACAAAAGAATAGCTACGAATATAGTGGAAAGCATACCATCATGTGGAGAGCCTCACAATACATGATTTGGTGTTTCTACTCTCTCGACATTGCACAAGTTGCCGCAACAAATTCTTATGTTCTTTTATGATGCTTCCACTCGTTAAATCCATTTATGAAACAACCACATTGAGTGACTCTAGTTGGTACCCTGCCACTTCCCTTGCATAATAAAGTAATATCTTGTACGCCTGGTCTGGAAAGTCTTATCCGTATTGTATATTCAAACGATTAATTATGCCTAATGTCTAAAAAAACATGCGCGATTACATATTTCTATATATGGGATTTAGATATTAGGACTGTGTAGTCGAAAAATTAAGTAGGCGTACTGCAAAACCACGGGGCCACTTATCTAATTATATATCGACACCAAAATTAATTTGAAGTATTTGCATCGTTACCGCACCACTTTGTATAATCTCTATTCTAGAGAACACTCCATGTTTAGGCCTGACAGTCCAGATTGGAGTGACAATAATCCTATCTCTGAAACCTACACATTCCAGGTTGATTTAAAACTAAACACACTCCTCGCAAGCACTTCCCTTATTAACTCTAAAAGCCTGAAACCTTGAAAAGTATTTTACCTTGCTAAATACTCACCAAACTGCGTCGGCTACCGTCGACAGGCGTGGCAAGAACTAAGTGGCAATGTCAGCTTAAGTCATGCATCAAGGGTGTGGATTTTCAGAGGATGAGCACCTCGCTTGCGTCGTACACTCCATTTTAGCGATATTACAAAGTGGTAGTGTGTATGCTCTTAGAGAAGCAAATGAGAATTCGAAAGAAGAACCTTAGTATAGAAATCGTTCATAACTAGCACTTTCTTTTTCAGAACTACCGCATTATTGTACGCCACACCACACTGCCTTTACTGCATGATCAATCAATAATTTCTTGAATAAAGGGCTTTCAGCGTGCTATAAGACACTAGAAGTGTGGCACTCAAAACCCGTGCTGATATAGACTTGAATTAATGTTCCTAGATATCGTCAATTAGGGGGAGTGAATTGTATGGGATAATCGCTGCCGTGAACCAGTGATAACTTTTTGCACGCAGCAATGTCAATTCTACACCCTTCGCTGCCGTAAAAAATGGTAAAAGTTCTGTTGCGTGGCCCTCATCGGCCAATACTACGAAAGGTCGCCCATATGCAACGCTGCCAGGATTGCACAATCCGGACCAATCATCCTGTTGTCTTGTCGCACAGTATGTTTTAATTCGATACTCCCCTGGTAAGATAAACATTTCACAGGTTTTTTTTAAACGATCTAGACATACATTCCCGCTGAGCAATCAAGGTGTTGGTGAAAGCATTTTCAACACAAACCGAATTGTAGTTTCTTTTGAGACAGGGTTCCTTTCGTTTAACGGTACTATATCGCTCTCGCTATACTGTAGGTTGTCTAATGTTGCTGAGCGGGCTAACTGTACGTTTCATTGTACACTGGCGCTTCTGCTGACGCTATAAGCTCCATTTTGTCCAAAAATTACTTATAGTGTGTATGCGCGATATTCTATTTATTTTACGAGCAAAATACATCGTGGTATGGCGTAAAATAATGTAACAGATATATTTAAGAGGTTTGGTGAATACAACAATTCCCTGAATATGCTCAATCTGCATTCTTTTTTCTAGTGATTGTGATGGAGTGGTGATCACAAATTTCTTGTGACCCTGACTCTCCACTGGCGCCCGGAAGGCCTACTTACGGAGAGGGTACTCCGATATCGTGCTCTGCGTTTTCTTGCTCACCTTGTGTACCCGTCGGTGGGGCGGGTTACGCTCTTTTTGGTGAGATTGAGCTGAGGCTGAACTTGACCGTTCAAGGTAAAGAGGTTGATCAGGTGGAAATTCTTCACCCGGTCAAACGTAGGGGAGGATCAAGTGGAAACTGTTCTCTCGATCGCGTGTATGCTTGGGAGATCTCCCAGAGTCGCCTTTGTGCAAGGGTGATGCTTAATGCGCGATCCTTCTGACCACTTGGGCCGTCTCGCAGTCTTGAATCTAAATTGTAAGGTTCACTGCGTCTAATCGCATTTGGGGGGGGGTGAGAA